CACGAATACGCCTGTAGTTTTTCCCTAACCGGCATGTCGGTGAGCTGATGCCCTTATACCATCAATACTACATGTCCAAACATGCTTCACAGTCAAAAGCAAGCGACAGTGTTTGTGTGCCAGCTGTCAAACGCTTGTGCCTCTATTTCTGCTCATAGGGCACAAAAATGCATGCGGGACAGAGTGACTCACCGATGCTCAACGCACACCATGCCTGACACTCACCACCTGACCATCGATGCCAAAGCAAACCACACGTCGTACAAGATGCTAAAAAACACATTTCTGTAAGCAGTCACTCTACGAGTCAAACATACTTTTGAGAGCCTTCAATGTCTGACATTCATTCAACACTCAGAACTGCTAGGGCACATTCCAGACTCTATCCGGCTCACGGGCCGTCCATGTTCCGGAGACAATTGCTGTCTGTGCTAAAACGGCCTCCGCAGATAAAGCAGCTGCACTCAGCAAGCACCTACCGAGTGCATATACATCTAAGGCAAGGCGATAAGCAAGCGCGCTCGCAAGATTGATGACACTACAGTGCACTACAATGCACGGAGAAGTAAGGACCTGCACAAAGTGTGCAACATTGTAAGGTCCATATGCATCGGTTCCACGCCTGGTATATTGGGTTGCGACCTCCTGCCTCAGCGGGTGGGCTCAACGCACGTTCTGCAAGTCCTAGTCAGCTGCACAGTTCGTGGGCTAATATGTGTTGAATACTAGGCAGGCGTCTCATTGACACTCAGCATGCCAGCCGTTTCGCCAGAACGTGCGGATGCCTTTCCAAATGTCCAAATGGCAGTGTGCTCGTGTGCCTCCAGCAACAGTTGCACAGATCGCGCGTTGAACAAATAAGTTTGTCACGGCTTGACGTCAAGGCACTGGCAGGCAAACAGTTTTTGCCCTGAATGGCGTTCACCAGCCAAAACAATATTCGAAAGGGACACAGGCAAAGGGCCTGTTCCTAGTGCAGGCAGCCAAGCATCCATGTCACACAGCACGGCAAATGCCCAACCGCCACCAAGAGAAGTCAGGTCCAGCGCTACGCTTCATCCAACACGCCATGCCAAAGGCTTGCGTATACATGAGGCTGCTTCAAAAACCACGGGTTTGATCAGTGACAGATACTAGATGCCGGTGGAAATGCAGCCAATTTCCAGTGGCGCTGCAAACGAGCCTGCGTTCTAGGCTGGCGCCAACTTCCGGGAGCTCGTTCACGCCATCCTGCTTGCAGCCAACAACTGAGCATATGAGCAGCACAAATGCACTCCATATGAATGCGCGGACTGCAGGAATCCGTGCACCCGAAGCGTTTTTGCTTCACACCTTATTTTGCACGTGGGACCCGATAGTCCGGTGAAACGCCTCCCAAACACACCAGCATGCCCACTGGAACTGCGACTATGACAGTTGCACAACGCCTTCAGGCAAGCATGTTGCTGACTTCCATGCAGGTCAGTCAAGCAACTCAAGCGTTCTGTCGAAGCATCTGTCTCAATAAAAAGCTAATCGACGTACTACCTGCACGCATGGAAAACCAAAAATTACTGAACCCTGCCAGGAACACTCGAATCACGCTACACCAAAACGTACACAAGACGCCTTCGCACTGCTACGTGCACACAAATATGCCTGTAGTTTTTCCCTAACCGGCATGTCGGTGAGCTGATGCCCTTACACCATCAATACTACATGTCCAAACATGCTTCACAGTCAAAAGCAAGTGACAGTGCTTGTGCGCCAGCTGTCAAACGCTTGTGCCTCTATTTCTGCTCATAGGGCACAAAAATGCATGCAGGACAGAGTGGCTCACCGATGCTCAACGCACACCATGCCTCATGCTCATCAGCTGACCATCGATGCCAAAGCAAACCACACGTCGTACAAGATGCTAAAAAACACATTTCTGTAAGCAGTCACTCTACGAGCCAAACATACTGTGCGAGCCTTCAATGTCTGACATTCATTCAACACTCAGAACTGCTAGGGCACATTCCAGAGTCTATCCGGCTCACGGGCTGTCCATGTTCCGGAGACGATTGCTGTCTGTGCTAAAACGGCCTCCGCAGATAAAGCAGCTGCACTCAGCAAGCACCTACCGAGTGCATATACATCTAAGGCAAGGCGATAAGCAAGCGCGCTCGCAAGATTGATGACACTACAGTGCACTACAATGCACGGAGAAGTAAGGACCTGCACAAAGTGTGCAACATTGTAAGGTCCATATGCATCGGTTCCACGCCTGGTATATTGGGTTGCGACCTCCTGCCTCAGCGAGTGTGCTCCACGCACGTTCTGCAAGTCCTAGTCAGCTGCACAGTTCGTGGGCTAATATGTGTTGAATACTAGGCAGGCGTCTCATTGACACTCAGCATGCCAGCCGTTTCGCCAAAACGTGCGGATGCCTTTCCAAATATCCAAATGGCAGTGTGCTCGTGTGCCTCCAGCAACAGTTGCACAGATCGCGTGTTGAACAAACAAGTTTGTCACGGCTTGCTTGATGCGAATGCAAGGGGGCACCAGGCAAAACAATATTCGAAAGGGACACAGGCAAAGGGCCTGTTCCTAGTGCAGGCAGCCAAGCATCCATGTCACACAGCACGGCAAATGCCCAACCGCCACCAAGAGAAGTCAGGTCCAGCGCTACGCTTCATCCAACACGCCATGCCAAAGGCTTGCGTATACATGAGGCTGCTTCAAAAACCACGGGTTTGATCAGTGACAGATACTAGATGCCGGTGGATATGCAGCCAATTTCCAGTGGAGCTGCAAACGAGCCCACGTTCTAGGCAGGCGCCAACTTCCGGGAGCTCGTTCACGTCATTCTGCGTCCAGCCAACAACTGAGCATGTGAGCAGCACAAACGCACTCCATATGAATGCGCGGACTGCAGGAATCCGTGCACCCGAAGCGCTTTTGCTTCACATTTTATTTTGCACGTGGGAGCCGGTAATCCGGTTAACTGCCTCATAACACACACACAAAATGGCTGAACTGCAAATTCACGCATTCTGTTCAATAATATATTCAGTCCTGGAGTCATGCGATTGATATCCAATGCCGCACGCAAGCGTCGACACTTCACTCAACAATTTTGCCTATTCATCGACGTGTTCTATGTGAATGCATACCTTACGATTTTAAAGAACTTTTGGCAGGCACTTTCGTGTCTTCAAGTGCAACGCATATACATTTCAAACGAAATGTTGCGTCCGTGCATCTGCTTCGTGCGAAACCAGTCGCGTACCTCCTGCACTTACAAAAATTGCACTGTACCTCGAGCAGTCGAATAACGGCGCTAAATCCAACAGAGAGCATCTTTACAGAGCCACCTGCTAGAAGGATGTCCTTTTCTTTTTGCACATGCTGCATATCATTAATTTGATGCGCCCATAGCATCAGTCTCACGTTACCAAATATGCATCACAGCATCTAAAGGGACCATGCCAATGCAGCGGCAGCAAAGCCTATGTGCGTTTGTGGCTGCACGCAGGGCAGACAATCACCTGCCGGACTTAGTCAGCCAGCTACACCCCACAAACGGCGTCCATTAGCGAGCCAACCAGATGTCGCAAAAGAAGCTTAGGAATACTTTGTGCGAACTGCCACCCTACAATACACGCATGAGAGCGTTCTACTGTTTGCTATTTACTCAGAAGCTGCC